ATTATAAAAAAAATAAAAATGCCAAAAATTAAATCATAGACACACAATCAACCAACAGCCTCTTCCTCCAACCACTTGAGCTTCATTTAGGGGCTTTTCTCTTTGTCTTTTTGCGAGAACAAACAAAGGGAGACATGTCCAGGCTTGTCAAGCCATTTGAGTGTAGAGGTGGTGACTTGCAGAGTACACATCTCCAATTCACTTGTTGCAACAATGAGGAGAAGATTCACTGTAAATGAAGCTTTGGATCACATCTTTGCTGCAAATGAGGCAGAGGGCACACAGGATTTTAGCGATGGAGATGAGCAGGCCTCTGAGAACGAAGATGATGTGGAGTACCAWRTGGAAGAAACAGACACAACTGATCAGTCTGAAGAGGAGGTCACTGGTGCTGAAGCTGCTCCTGCTGAATCATTCCAATCCAAACGTGGCAACATCCGTTGGAGTACAGTTCCTCCTGATGTGCATGGAAGGACAGCTGTTGCAAACATCATCAAAATGACCCCTGGGGTCACAAGGTTTGCTTTGACAAGAGTAAGTGACATCAAGATGTGCTTTGATCTTTTTTTGCCATTGTCACTAAAAACAGTCATAATTGCTATGACAAACCTTGAGGGGAAAAAAGTCCATGGCAACACGTGGAAAGACATTGATGAGATGTACCTGGATGCCTACATTGGTGTTCTCCTCCTTGCTGGAGTTTACAGATCGAGTAATGAGGCAACTGAGAGTCTCTGGGATGCATCAACGGGCAGAAATATTTTCCGGGCAACAATGTCTCTTCAGACCTTTCAGATGATCTCAAGAGTCCCGCAGAAATGTTGCTGGTGAAGGACAGGGCTCCACTTTCCTCCAAATTTGTTTTCATAGATACCACCACTGTTGTTTCACTGTCCAAAAAAATGACGGAATGTGATACTGATGTCCACTCTTCACAAAGATGCTGCTGTGTCATCAGGAAGTGACAAAAAGCCCATAATCATCCTGGACTACAACAAAAACAAAGGAGGAGTGGACAATCTGGACAAGCTGACTGCCACCTACACTTGCCAGGGAATGACCAGGAGATGGCCAATGGTTGTGTTTTACAACATCCTCAATGTGTCTGCATACAATGCATTTGTGTTGTGGACCCATATTCACCAAGGGTGGAATTCAACCCAAAACACCAAGCGGAGAATGTTTCTTGAGGAGCTCGGGAATTCCCTTGTCAAGACACACATTGAGCAACGGGAACGGGTGCCCTGAGACCCAGCTTCTGCAGACTTGGTCAGACAGCTGCAGTGGTCACCAAACACGCCATCCACATCCACAGCAACAGGAAGAGCATCAGCATCACCTTCCCCCTCAGCAGCCAGCCCTGCCTCAAGCACTCCATCCACATCCACAGCCACAATGCCAGTGAGACCACCTCGTTCAAAAAGAAAGAGGTGTCAGGTCTGCCCTAGCAATATGGACAGAAAAACCTACATAGTGTGCTTCACCTGCAACAAATATATCTGCAAAGAACACACTAAAAGTGTCACTTTTTGCAACACATGTGTCTAAACACACACACACACACAAGCACAGGCATGTTCTTTGCACAGAGTATTTATAGAACAAGTACTTGATTTCTTTTGATGTGATTTTTCTCGATCGGTTGTTGTTTATTTGACCTTGCAAATCTTTGTTTTATTGTAATTTTTTATTATTTATGACTGTTCTGTTTTTAATATTGTTAAATATTGTATTAAGGTTCTATTGTGTGGAAAAAAAGACTTGTTTTTGCCCTTTTCTTGAAGTAAATATATACGGGTCCAAAATGACCCGAAACACCATAGATGTTACTACATTTGATAATATTAAAATTAAAATCTTTTTTTTGTTGAACATTTAAGAAATGTGTTTTAATATCTCTCAGTTACACTCAGGTAACAGAACAACTGATTATWTTGTTGCCTTCTTCTCTTAAGGTTCATTTGACCACTTTTTAGACATTGAAAACGAGGGGTATGCTGTTAAAACAAAGGCCCAGGGGGCCACAAAAATATTTAAAACCAATCTTTTCATGGATAAGGGAGCCCAACCAGCTAAACAAGAGTTAAGAAAAACATTGGATGATAAAAGATTGTTTTTTGGGTATTTTATGGCTGATTTAATACACGGGTCCAAAATGACCCGCTAACACCACAGATGGCAGCAGAAAGCTAACACCAGAGGAAGGCTAACAGGGAGGAAAATAACTTTTTAGCTTCAGACAGGACCATGTAGGATTTCCCCCCTTCACTTTAAAACTGGATTTTTGTTTTATATGTGTTATCTTTGTCTAATATTAGAATTTTTTTGATGATCTGAAACATTTAGGTGTGACAAACATGCAAAAGTATAAAAATAAGGGTACAAACAATTTTGCACACCACTGTACAATTCTTCTGAGTCCTTGACCTTTAGTATTTTTCATCCAAAATGGGAAAAAAATGTAACAAATTTACTATATATCATCCACCAAGCCCTTATTCTTAGATTTTGTTTAAATTCTCTGAATTTTCTGATTTAAAATTGAACTGATAAAGTTATAAATGTGGGGAGTTTCAGTATATGTTGAAAGCGATGGATTAAAAACAGCCTTTAATAATTTAGCATTGTTAGTTGGTTTTACCCAACATGTTCACAAACCTATTCTAGTCAGACTTTTGATCTGACATGATTTTAGCTTAATGTAAAGTTGTCTGTTATTACAGACTGCTGTCAACACTGAGAACTGAGGTGAAATAAATCTGCTGATTTCTACAGTTAACCAAAGTGAAGGCCTCCGGTCCTTTGTCCTGTAGTCTGACTCATGCACCATCTTATTAGCTGTTACCTAAAAAACTAGTCCTAACATATTCCTCCAGAACAAGTAACATAAATAGCTCATTGTTGTTATTTTTTTTAAAGTTTTAACGTATTTATTTATTTTGTTTTTTTTTTTTCATTGCTTTGTTAAATACGTTGGGCTTCACATGTGTTTGACAATATAAATAAAGTTTTTTTAAATATTTTTTTTTTGTAAAATGATATTGACTTGTTTTTTTTCCCTCCTATTTTATACCTGAATATATTATAGTGGAAGAATCTCCTGCATCAGTCATTAGTARGAGCAGAGAGGCACACAGGAAGTAGACGAACTGTATATTAGCACTGACAGCTTGTTGCATCTTCCCACAGTAAGTCTGAGATCAGCTGGAGCTTTTTCAAATCTATTCCTGCTGGAAGCATTTCACACTGAGAGGAGCTGTCCTGTCGTTTGGTTTGATTTACTTCCACRGGTGTTGGTGTGTAGTTTTCATTCTCAAGTCTTACTGCCTATATTACTGTGTTCCCTTTTTTTATTTTGGTAATTAACGTCTGAAATCCGTGTGACCATGAGCCATGGTGGTCAGTCCCTCCTCTAGATTAAAAGAAGCTCTTGAGCAGCAGCGCCTTTGATGTGCTGTAAACCTCTACAGCTGCAGCATGAGTGAGAAGTTCAAGCTGACGAGGAACGGAGGCGGCGCAGTCATTACAAACATCTTTATAATGAATCGTCAAATTATTTAGTTTGCAAACTTACTCAAGCTGCTCTCACACAGATAGTTAAAAGTGTGCTTAAAAAGAGCATCCTGTACGCCACAGCTCATTAACTTCAAGGTTTCAGTGAAAGTTACCTGCAACTTTTCTAGATGCTAAAAACAGCACCTGTACTCTCTGGAGTGTGTGTGTAGGTGGCCCTGAAGCCAAAACTGAAAGCATATATTCTAATAAAGACACAGCGGAAGGGATTCTAAGCAACTTCTCATTTCTCAGGGATAATAAYCGTGAGTGTGTGTTTGAAGGAAAAAAACTCAAACACTCCGAGGACAACAGTTGGTAAATGGGACACATGTGAACCCATCTGGGGGATATAAAATGAGCAGCAGCTGTGAGGCTCTCACCAGCACGGCGTCATTATATTACTTTATCAAACTGATAGACATTCACGCGTCACAATGCGTGTCTGCTACTTTGTGCCCAATTTAGCATGATTGGTATGGATGATTTGAACAGATACTTCCATAAACGCAGATGGCGTCCTGTCACACGGCTCTGCGGTCCTTACAATTTGGCGCAGGTTAGGTGACAAGCGTACTCGTTCTGATGGATTCGTCTTCAGGTCACGTAAACGGATGGTCGCTCCCTTCCTGATGATTTTGTTTAAAAGAAAGCAAAAAAAGCAGGATAAAAGCGGGAAAGAAGTGTGAGAAGTTTATTACCTCCYCCAAGGGAGGAGGTAATGTTTTCGGTAGCGTCTGTCTGTCTTTGGACAAAATTACTCAAAAAGTTATGGATGAATTTCCATGAAATTTTCACCACAAGTGGGTACTGGCCACAGGAACACACCATTATATGTTGGTGATGATCTGGATCAAAATCTGAACCCTCATCCATCCATCCATTTTCTGTACACGCTTCTTCCTTTTCAGGGTTGCATGGGTCACTGGTGCCCATATCCAGCAGTCACAGTGCGAGGGGCGGGGTACACCCTGGACAGGTCGCAAGTCCATCACAGGGCCACACATAGAGACAAACGAACATTCACTCTCTCACTCACCTAGAGTTATCAATTAACCTAACAGTCATGTTTTTGGTCTGTGGGAGGAAGCCGGAGTACCCGGAGAGAACCCACGCATGCACGGAGAGAACATGCAAACTCTACCCAGAAAGGTCCCCGGACCGGGATTTGAACTGGTGACCTTCTTGCTGAGAGGCATCAGCTCTACCAACTGAGCCACCGTGCCGCCCAAGATCTGAACCCAGGAACAGCCAATTAGCTTCAAGGAAGCTGACCGTACACTTCCAATCACATCAGATCATTCGTAGATGGGTCAACCCCCCAACTGTAGACATCCAATGGGATTGCCTGAAGCGGTTAGACGACCAATCACGAAGCACATGGAAATAAAACTTTAGACTGAATTGTTTTTAAATTGAAAAACTTACTATTTGAAGTTACTTTAATGTAACAACAGATCATTTTCATAATAAATCGGCCTGAACGTTCTAAAAATTMTGTATTTTGTGTTTATGTTTGTGGAGTTTCTTCCCCCCACCAGTATCTGAAAGGTAAGCTAGCTAACTCACCACCCKCCATTCAGGTCTGTTATCCAATAGATAATGCTAACGTATCTTACCCCCCTGTGAAAAGATAACCCCACCCCAAGGCGAAATTTGAAAAATGCATCAAAGTGGGTAGGGGAGGGGTATGGGTGGGGAAGGGGGGTTAGAGAGCGGAGGTGTGGCCAGGACGAGAGAACGTGACAGGCAGCTAGCATTAGCATAATTGATGCTACATGGAGAGTGACCACAGCGACACAGATAGTTACATCTCTGTGCTGCACTCTTTCTGCCTTTTTTCCCCTCCTCCCTTCCCTTCGCTGTGCAGGACGTACAGCGGGCTGGTGTGTAGGGAGGGAGGGAGAGGGAGAGAGGGAAGGGGGAAGGAACCTTTCAGATACTGGTGGGGGGAAGAAACTCCACAAATATGAACACAAAATACAAAATTTTTAGGCAGCAGTCAGCTCTCCCCACCCGAGGCTGAAGGTCAACAGACGATCATGCTAAGCTTGCTAACAGTTCCACCCTCTGACTGCTGCAGGGGCG